GATCAGGACTCGAGGGGAGACCCCTAATGTTTCTGCCAACGACACATTGAGGACCTCTTTTGTCCCAGTCATGCAACACTGACTCCCCTCAACACTCCAACTCAAAGACAAGGAAAAGCAACATGTTGCCCGGGAAGAGTGTGAGCTTTGGAGTCACATAGTTCTGGGTTCAAATCCTAGCTCTGTACTTGGACCAGTCACTTAACTTTTTAGAATTTCAGAATCCACATCTATAAATTGGGGTCGTTTAAATCTAAGCACTGATTCAGAGCAAACAACAGCAACAAAAATAACGTTTTAGAGCAAACAACAGCAACTAAATAATGGCTCTGCTTCACCTTTCCTCCCACCCCAGGGATCCTGCAGTCTTTGGGCTCACGCCCATGTCATCCCTAGCAAGGACAGTCACAACATGAAGGCCAATTATTATTATTACTTTACATGTATAGAGTTTTTATGGTGCTTTCACTTCTATTTCCTCATTTAATTGTGTGATAGGCAGGGCCGGGTCCTGTACACCCCCAGGTCTTCGGAAGTTGCCGATGGGAGTAAGCCCACTGCAAGGAGCCATGCAAGTAAGCCCTAAATCCCACTGAACGTTCACGAGTGGCTGGGACCTTTGGCTCCCAGCCCGGTCTTGCTTCCACCTATCTGCCCAGCAACATCCCATTCTACACCACAGCCTCATCTTCCTCCAAGGGATTGTGATGGACCCAGCAGTCCCCAAAGTCTGGATGTTGTTCCAGGAAGTCTGGGTGTGGAGGGCAGAGATGAGGCCCATATCTCTGCAAAAAGAAAAATAGGACACTTAAAAATCACAAGAAGGGCTCTTGGCAGCTGTGCAGTGCTCCAGTTGAGTGGTTTCCCACTCCAGGAGGATGTTCGAAAGCTGGGAAATGAGATCGTAGCAGTTTTAGGGACCCACAGCAAAGAGGAGGACATGAGGGTGCTCTTAAGTAAGTCAGCTGCTCCAGCATGTTTGGGGCCTAAGGCCCCAGGCATTTGTCTGATTACCTTCCCCAGTGCTTGTGAGGGTCACTGTGTTTTGCCTAAAAATAAAGGAGATTTCCAAATGAGGACTATCACAGCAAACCATTGATTTGAAGCAGGTGTGGTTTTGAGACAGCTTGCACTTCTTGTTCCTTCCAGTGCCCACATGTGTCTCACACCCTCCTGGTTCCAGTTGTTGTTGCTTCCGCCTTAATATCCCAGGCAAGTGGAGCTCCCCATCCCAACCCTGGGCCCAAAAAGGGAGATGCGGGTGGAATGTCTCCTCAGGGCGACAACGCTGTGCTGTAACAGTCAGCCGCTACAGGGGCGTGATTCCCTCCCCATGCTGAGAACCGTGGCTAAGATGTTCAGTCGGATTTAGGGCCCTAGAGCATCAGTTGCTCAGCCTATGGAGAAGCGTCCTCACCCTCCCATGTGTCAGGAAGGCAGATGTGGACCTGCTAGTTCTGCTTGTTCATAGTTAACTCAGCTATCTCTTTTTGAGGGGGAGAAGGAATAAGGAGGAGGGAGGGAGGAAAGGAATGAAAAAGGAGAAGGAGGAAGGGAAGGAGCGAAGGATGGGAAGAGAAGACAAGAAAAGGCAAAGAAGAAAAGAGAAGACAGAACTTCTTTTTCTCTAGCCGCCGAGGAATTCTGTCAGTGAGGGCTTCCTGGTTTTGCCAGTGGCTCTTTGCAGATTCTGGATACACATTTCCCTTAAGACTGGTTGTCTTCAGAGCAGGGGGAAACAAACCAGAACCTCCCATAAATCAGTAGAGGTCACTGCCAAGAGCTTTGTACACTTGCTGTCCCTGGCAGTGATAAACTCATTGCATTTGGGAACTGGCCAAAGACCCTGAGTCCCATCTTAATTCTCATTCCCAGAAAAACCTCAGCGCTCCGTTCACCCACCCCCTGTTTACTGTCTTTGTGCTTCTTAGACAAAGCTGGCAAGGAGGAAGAAACAGAGTTCCATAACTGGGTCTATTAAAGGCCCCATTTCTTGGCTTGGGGGAGCAGAGGAGGGTAGGGGAGAGTCATGGATCTCTAGACTGTGGGAAAGGGAGGCCCGGAAGGGGTGGGGGGCCCTAAATCCGACTGGACATACCCTACTCTGGCAGAGTGGGTCATCCCATATACACCCATTCCCAGCACCCTGTGCTCACACTTCGTCTTTGGAGCCCTTAGCTCAAATACACCCCCAGGTCTACAAAAGTTGCTGATGGGAGTAAGCCCACTGCAAGGAGCCACGCAAAATTCACGAGTGGCTGGGACCTGAGACTGCTTTGGGAGTTGTAGTCTATCAGTTTGTGCATCCATCTTGCCTCGTAGCATCTAAGCTTTATGACAGCAGGGACTTTGTCTTGTTCAGGCTGTCACCTCAATGCCTGACGGAGTGTTCGTACCTAGTAGATGCTCATTAAATATTTGCTGACTCTGTGACTAAATGTTTAGACATCTGCTTTATCCTGCTCTTTTTTAATTGACAAATTCTTTCTCTTAATGGACCAGGCTTTTCCATCCCACAGTGAGGGTGGAGGAATTAGCTAGATCAGGGGTGAAATTTGTTGCCACGGCCAGAAGTGCTGGACCAGGAGAGATCTCCTTACTTCTCTTGAAGGCAGTAGAGGGGTATTTTGTGAGATAGACCTGGGATCTAGATTCATCTGAGAAGCCAGGATAAGAAGCAGGGAACAGTTACCTTGGAGAGGGGTTTGGAGAGGATCCAGGCATGAGTGATAGGTCTCTCCCTATGACTCAGGAGCCACCTGCCTCTTTCAGCCAGACACAAGCGATGCCTGAGACAAGAAGAAAGAGACAGTGAGTCATTAACATTTGTACCTATGATTTAAATGGTAGAACAATTGAAAGAGACCACACATGAAAACAAAGACCAATGCAGCGCCTCAGCCCAGGCTCTGAGGCCATTAGAGATGACCCGAGATGCTCCCATGTGGGATTCCTTCGAGCTGAGTGCCAGCCCCACTGCCCTTCCACACAGAGGGCAGGAACTGATGTGAGCAGAAAGCACAAGTATGGCGCCTGCAAACTCGCCGGATGTTACTCACACAAGCACGTCAGTGAACCTGGAAACAGTGTCACTAACATTGAACCCTGTGCTGGACGCTGTACCCATACAAGAGATAAAGACATGTTGTTCCTACCCTCAAGGAACTTACACTAAAGTGGGCTGGATTTTTGTCTGAAATTTGCAGGAAAACACTAGGTGAAGCATGTTCTCACTAAGTTTATAAAATGCACCACATCTGGATTATCAAAGTCGGTTCAGATCCAAGCCACTGGTGAATTTTGCTTGGCTCCTTGCAGTGGGCCATCCCGTTAGCCAGCTTGCACCCTGCTTTTGTAAATATGGGGGCATCACAGGAAGAATCATGCTGGTTCCCAAGCTGAAGATGAGTTGGAGAAGGATCCACACGTGACCAAGGACTTGCTTGCTTTCTGCTCTCACTTTCTTTTGAGGTGGGAAGGGAGGGGCTCCCAGCAAGCCCTCGCCATTGCCCCAGGTTCCTCTGGGTTGCAACAGCATCCTGGCCAGGCATCTATAAAATGTGCCCCCCAGCTGAGGGGAGGCCGCCCTTCCTCCATCCTCCCCTGGGAGGCAAGTACCCAAGGAAGAGGTCCTTAATGACCAGTCTCACCTCTCAACTGAGCACTCTCTCCTCACTGACCAGCTCTTAATTCCCCTGAGCCCTGAGGCCCTTGTCCAGCTTCATGGAATGAACAATGCTTGTGTATAAGAGAAGATGCTTCCTCTACCAGGCCAGCCTCTGCCAGCAATCCCATCCTCCCTAGTGGAAGCCCACCATTCCTCTTAACAGGTCCTCTCTTGGGACAGCCAGGCTCTTCTGGACCACGGAGCCACATTTATCCCATCACAACTGATAAATGTTTTTCCCATCAACAAACGCCCTCTTTTAAGGTACCAGGCTTACCCTGCCCTTGGTGAGGACAGATCTGTGAGGAAGGGCCCACAGACTATAGGAATTAGCTGGAAGTCAAGGGTGAAATTCATCACCAAGGCCAGAATGCAAATGCCTCTGAAGCCCAGGCGAAGAAGAGAGGGCAGCACGCCACAGCATCTGCCCCTCCTGGATGTAAGCCTTAGGGCAGGCGTAATTGCTCACATGCCCTGTAAATGGTTGCCAAGGGCACCCTCCCAGAACAGGAGGGTGGCTCTAACATGCACAACTGACCTAATTGCACCGTGGCCTGTGGAGTTCTTTTTTTTTTTTTTTATTAAGCTTTTTAATTCACATGCAGCTGTAAGACATACAGAAATGTACCAGTTACCCAGTTTCCCATAATGGTAACATCTGCAGAACCATAGTATGATATCACAACCCTGATGTTGACATTGCTACAACCACCAGGTGTATCAGATTTCTCAATTTTACTTGTACTGTTGTGTGTGTATGTGTGTATGTGTTTAATTCTGTACAGCACCATCACCCCAAGCATCCTTCATATTGTCTTTGATAACCACACCCTTCCCTACCCCCTCCCATCCTTAGCCCCTGGCAACCACTCATCTGTTGTCTAGTTCTATACTTTGTCATTTTAAGAATGTTATACCAATGGAATCATCCAGTATGTAACCTTCTGGGGATTGGCTCTTTCACTCACCATAATTCCCTCGAGATCCATCCAAGTGGTTGGGTGTACCAGTACTTTGTTTCTTCTCACTGCTGTGCCTGTGGTTTTAATCATTAAACAATATTGCATCTCGACATGGCGCCAAGGCCCAATTACAAAGCCTTTGGGACATGATCCTCGAGGAGATTTTATTCTAAGGGAGAAAATATATTTTGTTTGGTGTTTCTGGGTGGGAAAAGAAAACAAAGCAAACATATCACAAGTGTTTCTAGATCCATGCAAGCATACCCCAGTTTGTCTCTTTCCTAAAACAGTGGCCAGTTGGGTTGTGACTCCTCGTCCTTAGCAGTGGCTGACTGTTCTCTCTTGTGTCTTCCCGCCTCCGTCCTTCCCAGGAACACATCTACAAGTTGATGAAGAGTGACAGCTATGCCCGCTTCCTCCGGTCAAACGCTTACCAGGACCTCCTGCTGGCCAAGAAGAAGGTAGATCTTTGGGAAGGGCAGGCCTGCCTTTCTTAGCACTGTTGACCCTTACCTGCTGCTTGCTGCTGGCGTCAGATGACAGTATCATCCCTTGGGTTTTATTTATTTTCTCTTTTCTTCTTTCCCTTTTCTATCTGCTCCCCCTCCAAGGGAAGACACACAAGTAGAATCGTCACCATCCCAGTGCACCCCCAAGGTCCAGGGTGTGGCATCCTGTCTCCAAGTCCCATTACCTTGGCCTGCACATTCTGCCCACAGCAGGGAGTGTGACCAAATACTAAGGCCACAGTGGCTCAGCACAAGAGTTCAGGACTGGCGGTGACGCCCTCGAATCCCTTAGGAAACCAGAAAGAGCCCCTCACTGCAAAGTCCTGCCCCCTTCACCACAGACTTTAGATAAAGTCTCACCAGCTCAGCTATGAGGATGAGGCAAGGATCAGGGCAACCCCTTCACTGGGTAGAAAACCTTGCAGGTTTCAAGCCCTCCCCCCATCCCCAGTCTAGCCCCAGAAGTCACTGGTGGAATCGTCCCCTCCTTGATGCCCCACAGTGTTTGCCTTATCTTTCAGCCATGAAATAACTGCACTCTAGCTTCGTATGCCTCTTCCCCTCAGAGTCAAGCCATGATTCCCTGCAGCCCTTGGCGTCTGGACTGGGGACCCCAGGGACCCTCAGCATGTAGGTGACGAGGGGCAGCTGAAGCAGGAAGAACTCAGCTGGATTTCTGGGAGGAGGGAAGGAAGAGCCGGGAGGGGCCTGGGGTCTGGGAAAGGGGAGACAGGAGAGATGGTCCGGGATTCCTGTATGCCTGCAAACCTTCTGCGCTCTGCAGCTTGGCTCCAAGGCCCCCATGTGGTTAAGTGTGGCTCTCCTTGCACCCAAATCCACAACGTCCATGCCACGCCGCTTAGGACTACGGGCATCCCCTCAGCCCCCCTCGCAGCCTGCCGAGCCCAGTCCCGAAGCTTGCGGTTGTCCACCCACACGCCCTCTGTCGGCTGCCTCTCCCGGCCACACCGCCCTCTTTGTGTACTGTCTGTCTGTCTCCCTCGTGTGCCAGGACCCTGTCTGCGCATCCAGTTGGTACCCTCTTAACTCCAGAGTCTAGAAAAGCATTTATATCCTGTTCTCCTGCCCTTAGGTAGCCCTGAGAATATCCCCGAGAGTCTGAGGAAGGAAAAGGGACTTCTGGAACGCCCAGACTGTCAGAAACCCAGCTTTATTGGTTGCCTGCACTCCTTCCATCAAGTGTCACTACTTGATGGAAAACGTGAAGCCTGGCCTCTTGCCAGCTCCCTTGCAGGAGGGTGTAGGTATTGGGGCTCTGATGGAGGGGAGCATCAGATGCCCATTTTTTCAAGAAAAGCTATGGACACTTCTGGTATCTCCAGCCCAGATCTCATGGCAGAAGGTCAAAATGAATGTTCCTATTTCTCATGGCTCAAGAGCCTGAACTGATCACAGTTTGGAAAAATTCTAAGGTTCTAGCAGTCTGGCTCATCTGGGGCCATCTACATACACAGAAGAGTCCAGAGGCCATTCAGTCCTCTTATGGGTCTGAACACAAAGGGGAAACACACTCCGGCTCAGGGAGTGGAACTGATACACCTGCGCCCACAGGTCCTCCCATAAGGGAAGAACTTCTCAAAGGAGATCCCTCATGTGAGGAAGGGACCCACAGCTTGCCTGTGAAATGTTACATGTGAAACTGACTAGAATGAGCCTCCCAGCCCCCAAATGAAGGGATGTTCTTTGGCAGAAAAGCTCTTGCAGATGCCAACACCCTTGCAATATCCAGGGGTTAATTGTTTCCAAAAAAACAGTGACGAAACCTACTTTTTCTTCCGTTTCTCCCTGAGAGTCTCCAGGCGTGGATTGGAGTGGTAACTCGGTATTTTTCAGGTAGGCCTAGAAGTACCCTGATGTCAGAGATGGGCTTGCTGTGTGATATCAATGTCCAGGTCATAAAGGTATGTGAGGGTCCCACGCTCCAGCTACGAGAGGGGACCTGGATCCCACCCCACTTTTCTGCTTTTCCATCTCATGATGGAGTCTGGAACCACAGCCTCCTGAAGCTTCATCCCTAGTTCATCCTCTGTCCTAATATTGTCAAAGATAAGGTTAGCTGCTCTGGCAGACCAGGTTCTCAAGGGGCCGGCGAGCTGGGTTTCGAGGGCTCCTCCAGGACATGCAAGGTAGGAACCCGAATGGGTCAGGCCGATGGCAACCCTCTGTGAGCAGCCACCCAGTAGCCAGAGGACGAGAATGACAGGCGCACCGTGCTAGCTGCAGGGCCCAGGACCAGCCTGACCCCAGCCGAGTGTGTGCCGCCTGGGCCGCGCACAGGATTGAAGCTGAGTCCCGCCGTCCCCAGAGCCGAGACTTGGTACGGTGACCTTCGGCTCCTTGTGTGAGGGGAAAGACCAGCCTGGCTCTGCCGTGGTGTGTCGTGTGTGTGTGTGTGTGTGTGTGTGTGTGTGTGTGTGTGTGTTGTGTTTTCCTTCTGCGATGTCCTGTCTCCCCGCAGCCAGGGGAAGGGATAGGGGTGTGACCACCAACAAAGAAGCCCTCTGACCTTGACCGCACAGACAGATGGCTGCCCTTTGCCCACCCCTCTGCTTTCGGCACCCTGCAGACCCACAGGCACCTGGCTGCTTCTTCAGCTCTCTGGTTTCCATTTTTGCTGGGGGGGTGTGTGTGTGTGTCCATGTGAGTGACTCTACTCTCCAAATTTCCCAGTCTCAGACTCAGGACCCTGGAACAGGGCTCTAGGATCAACTAGCCAGTATTTGGGATGTAATTCTCTACCAAACCTCTTCGCAAAGCAGGAAACTTAGGGAAAGCGTCAGGTGCACACCACACCCTCCTCTCCTCCCATGGTAGTGTGTGGTAGTGAGCGACTAGGCCTGGAGAGAGGATTCAAGGGCTTTGCCTCTTCTTGCCTCTGGCAGGGGCTCCTTAACTAAGAGTTCTCCACGGGGGTCCCTGAGCCTCCTGTAGCCGGCCCTGTGTAAACCTCAGAAGGGGTCACCTGCCTACATACCGAGAGAGCACTTTCTGTCCGAAACACTCCTTCTGAGGCCCAAGACCCTATGGCAACAGAGAGGACGTGGGTAGACCCTCCTTGCTCTAAGGACACAGAATGAAAGTCAACAGGGGCCCAGTAGGAAGTCACCGCAGTGAGCAAACTTTCTGGCTGCGTCCGGGTGGCGAAAAATCTCAGAGTCCGAAGCCCGACTCCCGGAGGCGTTGATGACGTCACCTTGCCCACGGCCACTTCCTGATGTCCCCTCAGGATCCCCTGCCTACACCCAGCCTTCAGGAGTAGTCTGTTCTGGGTCCCCACTTGGGGCCCCCAGGTGTCTGCCTGCAGCCTCGGGAACGCAAAGCGGGGGCTCCAGCCCATGAGCACAGCCAGTGGGAAGCAGGGACCAGACAGCTCCCAAGGGCGGACGGTGGCTCAAACAAAGGCACAGAGGCTCCAACTCCGAGCCCTCCAGCACCACCGATGGCCCCTTAGAAGCAAACACGCCTCTCTCCTAACTGCGCCACAGAGGCAGCACCATCTCTGGCGGGCTTCCGTTCGCTGTCTCTCCCGCTGACTCTCACCTACAGCGCTGGCTGCTTCTCTTTTCCCGTTTTTTCGCCCTGTTTTGCTGTTGTTTTTGTTCATTAGCTGCCGCTGCTGCTGTTTGGAAACCACATGTAAGCTGAAGAGTTTTTTTTTTTTCTGTATTTTTCTCCCTACTTTTTTTTTTTTCCCCCCCTAAAGCCAGAAAGTGAGCAAGGTCGTAGAACTTCCTTAGAAAAGTTCACTCGCAGTGTGGTAAGTTCAGCTGGTTTTCTTCCCTCAACGTTTCTTCTGGTTTTTCTTTGTTTCTTCAATTTTTTTGTTGTTGGTTGTCGTTTCCTTCGGGGTGGGAGGGAGTCCAGTGCTTTCCCCACTCAATACACCCTTTTTCTTTTGCGAGCGTCTGCGGCTTCTCTTCTAGGGACGGGTTTGCAAACCCCAAGCAGCTCCCTCTGCAGAAGGTGCACACACAGCTGCCCAGCCTCGGGCCTTGCATTTGATCTTCTGCTTGGGGCTTTGAGGAGGAAGGACCCTGCTGCCCTTGGGGCTGCACAGCGTGTGCATCTTCTGCGGCAGCCCAGGGAGAAGGCCATCGAACTATACCATGAAATAAATTGGCTCAGAACCATAGCTCAAAAAAAAAAAAAAAAAAAAAGAGAGAGAGAGAAAATTCCAAATTTCCCTCTGTGAGCTCTAGCAATCACGCAGGTGCAGGTCGGGAGCTGATGCTTCTCTGTAGTGGCTTTTGCGGGTGCAGAAGGTGGCCGTGCTGCATGGGTCCTGGCGATGCCATCTAGCTGGCGTGTGTGTTGGTGGCCTCTGCATGAGATCCAACATCCCTTACAGTCCCTGTCAGCCTCATCCACATAGCGGGACGGGGAGAGAAAGGCAGTAGCCGTAGGGTGTGGAGGAAGAAGCAAGTCCCCGCGCTGTCCTGTGCTCCCCGGGGCAAGGCCTTATCAAGCTCCCCGGGCCTTGACTGTGACGGGGGGAGGAAAGGTGGGCTACAGGTTCACTCTTCTTGTAGGGGAGTGGCCTGTTTCTCATGCACATCCAGCTTCGAGGGGGGTAGAGAGCAACACAGTGGCAGGTAGGAGACCCCGTGGTAAGAGCACTGAATGAGTAGGGCCTTCCCCGTGGTGCCTGGTGGAGGTTCTGTCCTGTGGTCTGGAGAACAGCGCAGACCCATCTCTCCTCTTCCTACCATTCTCCCCAAGATCCGAGCACAGGGCTTAGTGTACAGGAAGGCCTTGGTCTCATTCATTCACTCACTCATCAAAAACAAGCTGCTGAGTTCATAGGACCCAGCCTGCACTGTTAACATCAAACCAGTGAGTAGCAAAATGGCAGCCAGGGAACAGGACTCCCATGCATGGAACTGGCCCCACTCCCCTTGCCAAAGGACAGAAATCCGCTGATGCTGACTTGCCCTTTTCTTCCCCCTCTGTTGAAGGTCCTTGTAAACCTGACTACCCCCGGGTGATCTATATCTTTACTTCATCTTTTTCACATAAAAGAATTCTGGGTTCAAAGCAACCTGTCATAGCTAGATGCATTTTAACGGAATTTAAACATGATTTTGAATTTGCTAGATGTAAACATTACAGTAGCTGTGGTAGGGGACGATTAAAATATGAGTGCTCGCCCCTTCTCTTCTTTGGTCCTCTCTCTCTCTCTCTCTCTCTCTCTCTGGCCTTTCCCCATGAGAAATCAGAACTTGCTGAATGGAAGACCTGCTGGTCCCTGGTGTGTCTTTGTGGCTGGTTTGCCATGGCTATGTGGCTTCACACACCAAGAAGGTGCCATAGGCTCTCAGGCAAGGCCTACAGGAGTTTCTCCACCCCTGAGGCCCTATGGAGAATGGTGGGAACCCACCCTTCCCTATTGCTTTTGAGGTGCACACTGTGGGTAGAGGATGTTTAAGGATTTTGTTGACAAACCCAGAGTGTACTGGGAGACCAGGTGGACCACTGGGTGCAAACTGCAGGAGAGGAGAACTCCCATAGCCCTGTGGAGGCCCTTCAGGTAGACCTTGTAGGCTGAGGGTGTGAGAGAGGAAGGCTGGTACCCAGACAAGATGTTCAAACATCTCCAGGCTGCTTTTCACAAGAAGTGGTATTGGGAAAGGCAAGAATGATCTCAATGAAGCTCTGTGAAGAGCTTTTAATGATGTCTCTTCATCCCAGAAGTAGTGTTGGGTCAGTGGTTCTGCAAAGTCTGTTAACAAAGAATTTAGAACGAGAAAATACCAGACACCTTCCAAGTGTCTCAAGTGTGCATGTGGGACAAATTACAGAGATGTTTTCAGGGCTAGCTGAAGGAGAAAAATCTTCCAAGCTCCTGAGATTTTTAGCATCTATATGATAAAAGGTCCAAACTTCAAAAAAAGTTTATAAATTCCCTGCTGTTCTTTTGTGAAGACTCTAATGGGCGGTGCATTCCGATCTTTTGGTTCCAGTGGTGGAAATGGATTTGCACTGATGCAGCCATGTTACATGTGCTCTGGGGCAATACCACCTACCCACAAGATGTGGCTGTGTCTGAGGAAATGGTCTATGACTGTAGAATAGTGGCAACTCTCAGAGTACTTGAGGCTGGAACCCAAGAACTTGGTCTAAAACATCCCAGTGTTCTAATCAAATGGAATTAACCAACCAACCAAGATGCTTTTCAATCTGGTAGCCATTTTCTATCAAAGTGCTAGATCTCTCTAAAGGGAATCTATATGAATATGTCATCTCCTACCTCCTGCAAACTATAAAACTCAACGAAAGACTAGTTGAATAGTCGCTTTCCCATGTTGCTGGGAAAGATGTGTAAAAAGACCATCCATGTCATGGGACTAATAATGGAAAAACTAAGGAGTAAAGCTACACAGTTCATGGACCAAGGATGTGGACCAGCTGCCATTTAGGACTAATTGGTGGCAAGAGGCCTGGATCCAGGTGGTTGGATAGCTCAGTCGGCTGTTCCCCCATGCCAATGTCCTTTCTTTTCTTGGTAAAAGAGAAACCTTTGGAGAAAGCAAATTGTTCTTTCCAAGTCTTAAGACGTATTATGACATGGAGGGATTATTTGTTAAAGGCCAGAGATGGCCCCTTCTACAGGAGATGCTAAGGAGTAGTTTCATGTGGTTCATAGAAGCTGCTGGGGCCATGCTAGTTTGGCTGCAGAAGGAACCTTGCAATCCCCAGTAGAGGCAATGCTGCGTGAGCTTCTCCTTCCAATGGAAACTTGATTCTGAGTCACCCAGAACTTGAGTATACAGTGCAATTATCAGGGGATATACTGTGCCGAACATCATGTAGCTGGGGCCGCTGGAGCCAGAGGGCCTGCACAAAGCCCTGCTGATTTGACAGGAAGGCTCAGGTCTAAGCCTGAAAGTCTACGGCATAGTGCAACTAGTCCAAGTTGTACCTTCATTCAAAACAGAAGACAGGACTCCTCCGATGGGCCCAAGCCCCACAGATGGCCAGCACGGTGCGGGCTAGATTTCAGGCCCTACTTGACCTTCAGCTGCCCTTGGGCAGTGAATGACCCACACCACTGCACATGGTGGGGGCCTGGTCCGAGGAGGCCCAGTCCAAGAACTCTAACCTACAGCAGCCTCACAAGGGCAGGGGGGCCCACACATGGTTTCAGGTTATATGAACCCAGCCTATCTCCCCCAAGTCCTGTGCGCTGGGAGGCTTCCTTTCACTACGGCTGTAAAACACAAAAGCCCCAGGGGAAAACATGAGGTGCATCACTGTGGCTCACGTTTGCATCTCCGTCCCCCTCCTCCTCTGATTCCTTCTGCGGGGTCCTGGTGTGACCGCCTGGTGGAGCAGGGGACTTCTCGCCATCCTCCTGGTGCTGCTGCGGACAGATGACGAGGCGGATGTGAGGGTGGCCAGAGCAGAAAGACTTGCTGCCCCCTTGCTCTCTCTTAGGCATGCTCATTCCCTCAGGGCCTCCCGAGAGTGGGGAGGGCCCTGCCGCGGGCTGACTCTGACAGAGAGGCCCCGGGATGCCTGGGAGGAGGACGAGAGGAAGCAAAGCTCCTTCCACCAAGGCTCAGCAGCGGCCATTTGGTTGTCGCTTTCTGGGTGCTGGCCAAAGCTACCTGGGGAGGAGAAGCCAGAGAAGGTCTGCTTCTCGTGTACAGTTCTGTGGAAGCGGCCCCAGGGAGTGATGCACTCGACGGGGGTCAGCAACAGGCAGCAGCCTCCCTGGAGGCTTCCACCTGGGCCTGGGGGTTCGGCTGAAGCCCCAGCTGCCCCATTGAGAGCTTCATCAGCCCGGCCCTCAGGCTCCAAAGATGGGAAATGGGGTTGTTGGTGCCTGAGCAGGCACCGGAAGCCCCAGAGGGGAGCAGAGATGAGGACCAGGTATTCACCCACCTAAGAGAACTCGGCAGTGGAGCTTTGTCAAGGTTCTCCTTGGAACTGAAACCACAGGGCCAGAAGCTCAGGGTGCCTGGCCTGTTCCCAGTGGCATCTCCACAACAGGCGGCAAGGAATGCGGTGGGAAAGTCAGGCGGGGACCAGGAAGCTCTGGGAGCCAGCTGTCACCCACCCGCCCTCGCCCCTCCCTCCCTTTCCCTCTCCTCCCGCCCTCTCCCTCTCCTCCCTCCCTGGCCATAAGGAAAGCTGAGGGAGGAAAAGTCAGCAGCTCACCTCGCCGCCTTTCCAGGCAGTGCTGCAGGAAGAAACCCCAGCTCCAGACCCAGATGCTGCACAGGAAGTAGAAGGCTGAGGCTCCGGGCAGAGGGGGTATCGGGCGGCCCAGCAGGAGCGGCTCCTTCCCCCAGGAGGCTGGTCCCCCTCCCCCTCAGCATGTCATGGAAGACAGCCACCCACCCTCAGGGAATGAGTTCTCAAATACCTAGACTCAGCAGAGCCCCCAAAGGGCTTTGACCTCAGTCAAAAAAAAAAAAAAAATCCTTTTGGGCTTCCAGCAGAGGACTCTTGGCTACAAATCTTTACATAGGGTTGGTTTTGATTGCAAAACCTGGGGCCCCTCTGGAACCACTGAGTCGGACTGTCATTCTAGGCTCTCCTACTTCAGAGCCCTGAGGCCCAGCAATAGTGAAACCGTGGCCTGCCCAGAGATGGAGATGGACTTCCATGGTAGTATTTGGGAAGGAAAGCATAGAATCCTACCTCTCTTGAGCAGTGAGGACTTCTGGGACCCCGTGGAACTTGTCAGCAGGCGGAGTGGCCCCTGCTTCTAGCCACAGTTTGCTAGCTGTGCAACCTCAGGCAAATCTCTAG